AGAAAACCACCTCCGTTATTATTATAAACTGAAAATACAAAAACAACCGAATATATGGCGAAAACAAGGTCACCCTTATTACATAAAACATGTACTATAAAAGAAAACTCTTATGGAGAGCACCACCATTTACGAGCCCACCACCGCAACTATCAAGACCAGAGAGGGCAGAAACATAGGGAACAAAAAGCGTCATAGAAGAGAGAAGACGTTGGCGGGAGGGCACCACGCGCAAATGTTGCCGGCTACCAAACGCCGAGACATGCACCACCATAGGAGGCACACCGCCTAGGGGACGAAAACCCCCGAGCAGTTGAGACACCAATGGCACCACGTGCACCCCAGCCATGAGAACAACCGCAACAACACCTCTGCCGCTGAGAAAAACTCCACCAACTCTCCACATCCCCAGATCTGACGTGACGAGAGAGAGAATAATCCCTAAGGAAACATGGCTTCCGGAGAGTCGGAGTGCCGAAACGCCGCACATAAACAGACGGAAGTCTGACATTCACCCCCCTCCAACACGTGACAACTCAGCCCCAACAATCACGAAACTGAACCAAACACCAGACAACTCTCCGAGGGAACCCAGCTTTCCATCTCTAGGGCCGGAAGTCTAGCACTCAGCCAAAGGGCGACCCCAAATTTTGCCCCAAAGAAACCCAAGTTTACCAGCAAGCCCTAGTGTAGCCGCAGAAAGAGGAAAGGAAAAAAAAGAGTCTTAGAACGCGGTTTGGGACCGGTTGGCAATTTATTCATATCTTTATTCTTAGAAATTAAAAAAATATTCTTTTGAGGGTTCATCACGAGCTTAGAAGAAATGCAAACCAGACTGAGAGAGCACACATGAAGACGGTTTGGCCCAATTTTAAATTTGGATTTGGGTTTTTTTTTAAGGAAACAAATTCTTGGTTTGAAATGCGCATTTTCTAGAGGCAATTTGAGATTAAGCTTGAACCCATATTGGAAGCTATACGATATAGAGATGCAAGAACGGGCCGGCCCGGTCCGGCCCGTTCTCCTTATGCCCACGCGGGCCGGACTGGCCCAGCCCACTAATTTTGTAGGCCGGGCCGGGCCGACCTGTATAAGAATGACCTCGGCCTAGCCCACACCACGAGCCAATTTTACGTGGGTCATGTTAGGCCATGCCGCGGGCCATGTCATGGGCCTTGAATGGGTTGGCCCACTCAAGGCCCATCTTGGCCTATCATGGGTTTAGATGGGCTATCCCATCTAAGCATGCAATTTTCAATTTTTTTATTTTTATTTTTTATTTTTAAATTTTTAAACAAGTTAACAAATATATAAGTTCGAATAGTCAGTGGAAATATAAAAAGAGATATTTTATTTACGATTTCCTCATTAAATAAAAACCTTTCTAAGGAAAAGCCAATAGGACAAAAGCTTGGTAAAAAAAAAAAAAGAGTACAATCAGGATAATTATACATAAGATGTTTACAAAATTATTAAAAAAAGAAAAAAAAACATGAAGATATTATGGGCCTAGATGGGCTGGGGTGGGCCGGCCCATTATGGGCCTAGAAGGGCCGGGTTGGGCCGGCCCAGACGGGCAGGCCCAGCCCATGATATTTCATGGGCTGTGTCGGGTCGGCCCATGGGCCGATACATATTAGCCCAGCCCAGCCCACCAATATTTATGAGATGTGTCGTGCCTTGAACAGTGACGGACTGTGCTGGCCCGGCCCGTCACTGTGTCAAGATGGGGCTGGGCGGGCCCACGAACCCCGGCCCATTGTTACATCTCTAATACGATATCTATTAAAACGGACAAAAAGCTACATACATTCTTCTCATTCTTCTTCTTTTTGGTTTAATTTGTTTTTTGATAATTTCTTCTTTTTGTTTGTTGGTCACCCTTTCTTCCCCTCCTTGTCTCTCTCTCATAAGAGTCTTTATTCTTTATTTGGTTTTTCTAATTTTTTTCTTCTAGTTTTCTCATTTATTTGGTGGATTTTTTGTTATGCGTAAGTTTGTGGGGGTAATAAGAGATTATGGGCTTCTTGTTTCCGGTCTCGTTTTCATTTTTCATAGTTTTCGAGAAAAAAAAACTAAAAACGCGTACAGAAAACACGTTTGGTGTAAAATTTTCTAAAATCAAAACTGAAAACACCCGTTTTTATTTCTCTTTTTTTCTCATCTTTCTGAAAATGAATTTTTTCCGTTTTCATTTTTCTTGTTTTCATTTTATATAATCATGTTTATAATATATTATCATTTAATATATTTAATATTATTATATATTTAATATATTATTAATTTAAATATTATTACACGTTTTTAAAAATTAAATCACCAAACACAATTTCAGTTTTTTTTTAAACTGAAAACAATCTTAGAATAAAACTACCAAACGCATTTTCAGAAACGATTCCAAAATGAAAATAAAAACGTTTTCGTTTTCATTTTCATACAAAAAATAAAAACGTTTTGGCCCTGTTTGTTACCGTTTTCAATCCCATTTTTCACGTTTTTTGAAGTAAAAAATTGAAAACGCATTTGTAAAACGCGTTTGGCGCAGGTTTTTTTAAAAAACAAAAACAAAACCGTTTTTGTCTTTTTGTGCAATTCTGAAAACGTAAAAAAGCTATTTTCATTTTCTTGTTTTCGTTTTCATTTTCATGCTCTTCTCCGATCTTTCTCTCTCTCTCCTCTCCCCACGTTTCTCTCTCTTCCCCGAACTCAGGACGTCGTTCTCGGATGCCGTTTTCACAGAATCACGGCCGCGGAGCTGGCAGCGTGATTCCCTAGGCTCGCCAGAGCTTGGCCGTGAAGTTGGCAGCGGGATTTGCCTGGGCTCGTCAGAGCTGGGATGTGGAGGTGGCGGCAGAAGATCTGATTTGCAGAGATGGAGGGAGCAAGTTTTTGACAGTTTTTTTGTTATGAGATCTGATTTACAGGTTTAAGTCTCTTTCTTGCTCTTGTATGTTGTTTTAAATCATCATTTTAACTATATTTAGGTTGATATTTTAAGTTTAGATGTCCCATTAAGTCATAAAAAAAAATACGACTCCAAAAAAATATGTACTAAAAAGAGTGTCACACCAAAGATTTGGAGTCTATATAATTCCTTGAGTTTTTTTTTTTCCTTAAAAAAAAAAAAGAAAAACTTTAGTATATATGATATCGGGTAAAACGAAGCATCATTGAAATAGTAGTAAATCTATACTCCGCAAAATAGTTAGTGGAATCTATGGCGAAAGAGACAATGTAAAACTTATGATACTAAGCATATACTTCTACCGTCTTGTTAGATCCATGTTCTATCATTTTTTTTTTAATTCTTCGAAGCATTACAAGATGGTTAGTAGTTGACAAAGTGGAAAGTTTCAATATTTAAAAAAGAATTGGAAGAAAATACAAAAAGAGTACAATATTCATGTAAATTAGAAGTCCCTATTTTTGGGAGATTCTCAAAAAATACTTAGGCTGTGCATGTTAATGAACTGTGAGATTTCAATCAAGTTGTATTTAATTTGTATACTGCTTATATAATAATAATATTATTAATTTAATTAAGTTATATTGTTATTAGTAGTGAATAAATGTCATTGCTGATAGCTGAAAATATTTCAAATTGCCTTAGTCACTATCTGTCTCAGAAAGCCGGCATAACTAATTCGGTAATTCCAATTATTGCAATCTAAATGGGAGGCCTGTAGAATTGTTTATTACCCTTTTAAGAGCTTATGCAAATTGTTTGTGGGTTTGTATGTGAACAAAGAAAGAAAATGTAGTCCTATTAGTTTCACTCGTTCGAGTCAAAAACTTGAGTTAAAAAGTGAATTTACGTGAGAAAAAAATAATGAGCAGAAAGAGTTGATTTTAAATTTTTGTGAGAAAAAAATACTGTAACAAAAACTTGAGTTGTAATTCGAACTAACAAAATGAACAGAATGCAAAATATGACATCACGTGACATTACAAGTGAAGTCATAGTTGTTGTCACTTGTCTCAATTTTTTTCCCTCTTCGAAAGAAATGCTAAGAGTAAGCAGTTTGGATTATAATATTAACAATGATTAAAAATGTCCAGAGATGAACTTCAGTCTTCACTTAAAAATAATTCTTTTTTGGAGTTTGAGCTTATTCTCTTTCTATAAATATTAACCTCTACACTGGTGTATTTTATTGAAAAGAGTTTGGCACTTGTGAAACTAAGATATGGAATTAGGTAGTTATCAAAGAACAATCTCTGTACTACTTTGTTCTTATGCAGGTGAGTTTTTTTAGTTCTATGTAAATCTAATCTTCTATAGGTTGTGTTTTGCACAATCACAAGTGTCACACTAGTTCACTTTCACCACTTATTGACATTATACTTGGCTTAAAAGTAAAATTGACAGAATCTAATATAGATTTAACTATTCAAAATTCTATCAGTGGGGGTATTTTTTCATGCCATATTGTAGAATTCTCATTTTTTTGTAATGCTTCGCATAAAGTATTGTCACGTTGGTATCTCATTTCATTTTGTACTCTTATGTTTATAGTGGCTTATGATACATTTGATCCATATGGAAGCATAAATATCAAATGGGATATTGTCTCTTGGACCCCTGATGGCTACGTGGTAAGTGCCATATATGTACTAATTTAATTTTCTGCTTTTATTACTTTGTGATAAAATACTTGCCTCGTTAAAAAAAAAAAAAAATTAAAGAGCAGCTACATTTATTACTTGGTGAAATGGTACATTGGGGAAAGAGAGAAAGCGTTTAAATAACAAGCCGATTTTCTTAACCAGTAAAACAATATATATAGACTTTACTGACTGTCATTTGATATGCTTAGGAACTGACCATCTAACTATCTTAAGAGCTTAATCTCAAAAAAGAAAATAATGTTGACTGTTATCAATATATATATATATATATATTTGTCCTAATCACTTCTAAATAAGTAATAACTTGATATTTTGTTGAATTGTCTCTAACAAGTTCTATGATAATTTGATGATCAGGCGGTGGTGACGATTCAAAACTCGCAAATATACCGGCCGATCATGAGTCCTGGCTGAACCATAGGCTGGACATTCCACATTGCTGTATGAGAATTCCCACAATAGTTGACCTTCTCCACGGAGTCCCAAACAACCAGAGATTTTTGAAGGGAGAAAAGGCTGGAAGACAAAGTGAAAGATCCTGTTGAGCTTGACTCTAGTCCGACTTTGTGAAATGACTTGAACGGTGTAGTATAAGTGGGAGCTGGAAACGGCGAAAGTGAAAATACCACTACTTTTAACTTTATTTTACTTATTCCATGAATCGGAGGCGGGGCACTGTCCCTCTTTTTGGACCCAAGGCCCGCCCCGGCAGGCCGATCTGGGCGGAAGACATTGTCAGGTGGGTAGTTTGGCTGGGGCGGCACATCTATTAAAAGATAACACAGGTGTCCTAAGATGAACTCAACGAGAACAGAAATCTCGTGTGGAACAAAAGGTAAAAGCTCGTTTGATTCTAATTTCCAGTACGAATACAAACCATGAAAGCGTGGCCTATCGATCCTTTAGACCTTCAGAATTTGAAGCTAGAGCTGTCAGAAAAGTTACCGCAGGGATAACTTGCTTGTGGAAGTCAAGCGTTCATAGCGACGTTGCTTTTTGATCCTTTGATGTCGGCTCTTCCTATCATTGTGAAGCAGAATTCACCAAGTGTTGGATTGTTCACCCACCAATAGGGAACGTGAGCTAGGTTTAGACCGTCGTGAGACAGGTTAGTTTTACCCTACTGATGACAGTGTCACAATAGTAATTCAACTTAGTACGAGAGGAACCGTTGATTCGCACAATTGGTCATCGCGTGAAAGACCAACTTTTAGATTAAAACACCTAAGGAAAAGAAAAAATAAAACAAAATCCTGGAACAAGCCCACATAAAAATGACTTCAAACAAAAAAAAAAGACCAAACATTAGGGCCGGTGGTCCGAAGGGAATATTCGAGCCGGCCCATCAACCCAGTCTGGCCGGCCTTAAAACCTGACAGCGGCTCAGACTTTTACAAAGAAAATGTGAAAATAAAATAAAACACTTCAGGCCGGCCTAGCCCGGCCCAGCCTGAAAATAGTTTAGGGCCTATTGTATCATTCCAGCCAAGGTGGAGGTTAGGGCAGGGGCGGGCCAGGCCCAAGCCAATAGTAACAGGCTTAGGACCGGCCGTTTAGCCTAGCCCAAACTTACAGATGTAGACAAAATACACATTAATTTTTTGAACAGTAATTGGAAGGGAACTCTCATTTATATAATCGTAATAGATAATAAAAACTAGTTTAATTCCATTTGATCCTCAAAATTTGGCCAAATCTTATTTATTAGTCTTTCACTTTAGAACGTCTTAGAACAAGTCCTCGATCTAGTTTGTTATATATCCTAAATTAGTCCTTTCGTCCATCTAGCTACTAAAATCGTGACGATAAAAGGAACCACTTTCTTCATAATAGCCATGTCCAAACATATAAAATTATAAAATTCTTTCTCATTTCACTGTATATGGTCCCGCGTGCCTTTAATTGTTGAGATTTTAACAATTAGATGGACATAAGGATTATGTGTAGATTAATGACTTGTTCTGGGTCGACATTTTAAAAGTCAGAAAATCAAAATTAGATCTTGCCTGTAACATGATGATTGAATTCAATAACTTGATGATTGAAAAGAAGACAAATCCTCTGCCTTTGTCTGAGCAATGCCCTCAGGCTCATTATATATTAGCATTACATCTCAAACTAAAACAACAATAGGAGTTTCTATCCTTGCAAACATCAAATGGAAATTTTAAATAATTTACAAATTCAATAATAACATAATCATTGATTAGAACAGATAAATCTTCTACCATGTTTGAGCAATGCCCTCAAGGTCCTTTTGCATGCGTACTCCGAGAAGTCGAGAAGAACATGCCTTGCAGAAAAAATCCAAAACAAATTCAGTAATTCGGCTTATGATAGAACAGATTATTATATCTAGTGTTTCTTAAGAGAAACAATCTTTCAGTTTAACAGGCCACATATTTGTTTAAAACATTTCTTAGAGGACTTGAGACATTAAATATATTCAAATCAGAGCAGTTTTTATAAATCCAAGATATGATATAAACTTTATCATTCTAGATCATTGGTACATAACTTTGTATCACAGGAAAACACATCAAACGAGATATTGACAGTAGAAAACAGTCTAGTAACTACAGCAATGATCTAAAGTAACATTATATATTGTTGTATAAGTACAAAATGAGGTTAAGAAATAAAAATGATGAGAGTGGATTTTCAGGCTTTTAAAAACCAAACTTTTGAAAAAAAAAAAAACACTAGAGAGAATTCTATGGTAGATATGAAAAGATACTCCATCCTAATAATTCTGAACCTGTTAGATATTTTTCGATTCTATTAAATTATCATACTGGTTATGAGTATGATATGATTTAACATTAAACCTATGCGCTGCTGGTAGAGTATTTTTTCTATACCCTACGAGAGAATTCTCGTAAAAAATAGAACAAAGAAGTAGAACAAAAACAAAAAAAAAATGTAACAGAAAGATGGTGAATTCTATGCTAAGGAATGGAAAAGTCTTCTAGTGGAAGGTAAAGTTTTTTAAAAGTTAGATCACGTCAGAATTAACAAGATAAGAAAAATATGACAATTTTGACGAATTTTGATGAGGATCTGAAAGCTAAAATCTGTGTCCTAACGGCAGGTTCTTTTTTAAGAAAAAATGCCCTACCAAAGAAATCTCACAAAAAGAAAGAAGACCGCAGAGGACATTTGATTATTACGACCGAAAAAGCTAGAAACGCTTTGACAGTGCGTACCTGCAGAACGTGTCATTGCTCAATTGCCTTGCGCTTGCAGACGTTGCAACAAGGCTGAGCATCCCAACTTGTAGACATCCGGTTTTCCAGCTCTGTTTTTGTAGCAGAATTTCACAGAGGGTGCATGTTGAATTTTCCAATAATAAGGTCCTCCATCTGGTTGCAAACCAAGCACAAATTCTCTTGGCATGTCAAGAATTTCAATTGATTTCAGACTGGTGAGTTGTTGAATGTCGAAAGACGTCGGCTCCATCATTAACGGGAAAGAACCGAACTCCAACTTTTCAAGAAGAGGCAGTGCTCCATTGTCTATTTTCACCACTTTTAATCCTTCCAACTTCACTAATCGAAGTTCCTTGAGTTTTCGAAAACTGCCTTCTTTGAAATGCAGTTCCTCTCCATCGTATGTCTGGTGCAAGCGAAGGAATACTAAATTGGGCAAACCTTGGAGCAATCTTAATGGTTCGTCAACTAACCTTGAGAACTTTAAATCCAACGTCCGCAAATTATCAAGCTTTGAAATCCAGTCCGGCAATTCGACAATTCAACTGGAGCCAATGTAAAGAACGCAGAGGAGATGAAATGCATCTTAAATCTAAAACGTCATCCTCGTTGATTAAAGTTACAGTTAACTCTTTAAGGTGGGCCATTTTCTCAATGGAGGCACCAAGAGCTATCCCCATTTCCGCGGTTACTTTTAAAATGCTCAAAGACCTTATATTCCTCAGCTTTTGTAGCTCTTTCGTGAAACCAACTTCTCTTCCGGGATATGCTTCAACACGTGTTAATAGTCGTAAATCCTCCAACCTTCCAATTCCTTCATTCATCTTCACACCGCGATAGCATTCTAAACAAAATTCACTTTTCCAATCTTTAGAATAGGCAAAAATGTGTCTCAAATTTATTAGCTTGTTAATCTCAACCGGTAGCTCCTGCACTAATGTGTTAGAAACATCCGGTGTTTGTAGGTTGCGTAGCTTACCAATGGAATTCGGAAGTGTTTTCACCTTTGTACGTCTTAAACATAAGTACCTCAAGTGGAAAAAATTTCCTACTTCTTTTGGGAGATTATCCAGAGGAGCATTTGAAAAATCCAACACCTTCAAAAGCTTACATTTTTCACCCAATCCAACTACGATGGACTTGCTTAATTCATTGAAGCCAAAGAGGAAAACCGAACGAATCCGGGAATCTGCAACAGTTTTTAGAACATTTTCTGTAGAGCCATAAACTCATAGGCGACTGCTCCTTTCTCCAAGACTAGACTTGCCTCCCTTCAGAGATTTACAAAATCTCCATTCAGCAGCGTATGTTGAGATGATCTCATACATCAAATCATGGACTCTACATTCTCTAGATATTCCATATTTTGTTTCCAATAATACCAAATTTCTTTGGATGAGCTCATTCAAGTATTCTTCGGCAACTTCTTCCAGGGTCTTGTTATCTCCCTCTTTAACGTTCTCTCTGTTTAACAAAGCCTTCGGCAATCCATAACCCATACAACTGATTATCATAAATTCGATAATCCTCAGGAAAAACTCCAAAATATACGAAGCAAAGTCTAAGATGGTGAGGAAGATCATAATAACTTAGGGAGAGAATTTTTTCAATATCTGTTTTTCCAAACTCTGAAGTTAGATTGTTGAGCACGTTTTGCCACTCAAATACAGACTTTTGTTTTGTTGACAAAACACCAGCTATGCTGGCAATAACAAGTGGCAAGCCTTGGCATTTGCGAAGAATGTCATACGACAATTGCTCCAACTCTTGCGGGCAACGCCCCTCAAACTGGTCGCCTCGAAATGCCTTCTTGCAAAATAATTGCCAAGCCATTTCTAAAGTCCACGGTTGCAACCCTTTCACAAGATCACAAGGGTTTTCATTGCAAAAAGCAGCAACATCATCATTGCGTGTTGTAATAATTATCCTACTGCCGTTGTTATTTTTTGGCAAAGCATGTTTCATAACATCCCAAATATCATTTTGCCAAACATCATCGAAAACAACGACGTACCTCCTTGTCTGTGAAAACTGCGTCAAAGGTCTGATCAACTCTTCAATATTGCATGGTTCTTCAATTATTCCTGGTGGAAAATCTACTTGCCTTGATATGATCCTCAAAAGATTCTTCATGTCGTATGATTGGGACACCGTGATCCAAGCATGGCAATCAAAATTAGCTTTCACCACTTCATCATGGTAGACTTTCGCAGCAAGAGTTGTCTTGCCGATTCCACCTTGACCCACCAATGAAATCACGGAGCGCATGGATTCTCCTTCGGTCAACCTTCTTCTAAGCTCCCCAGTTACGGCATCAATACAAACAACTTCATCTTCCTCCATGAAAAGAGATCCAAGACGAGGGTCTTGTCGTTGTCCATTTGTTGGTTTGCTACTTGACCCCTGCTCCAAAGGTCTCAATCCATATCCAACACCTCTATCCTTGATTCGGTGCAATGACTCTTTAATATCTTGAATCTCCGATGCAATGTAATAACGTGCCTTTAACCCTTTGATACAATTACATGCTTTTCGAAGAGCTCCCATGAATCCACCTTCATAGCCATGATGTTCTACGCGATAAACGTAGTCGTCAACCACATCCTCTATGCGCTCGGCTTCCTCTCTTATTTGCCTCAACCATGCTTTCGACGCATCAACCACTCGATCTCCTTTCTCCACCTTTGCCTCTGCATCTTTAAGGAAAGGCTCGATGATCTCCAGTTCGTCTTTCAGAATCTTGACCTCTTTGCGGACTCCTTTCAATGACTGCGCTTCTCCAATTAGTAGCTTCGTCAATTTCTCCAATTTCTCAATGATAGGGCTCAAGAAAGTCTCCGCCATTAGTTCTTCGCACGCGGAGACCTGATCCAGCACGAAACAGAAATCTATGCAAGCCTGTGATGAGCAATGAACTAGCTAAGAACAAATGATCAGGCAATGAAGATTAGAGATTTTTAGAGAAATGAACTTACCGCACTGCACTGGTGGAAATTCAGAAACTTTACTCTTTGCACATCTCAGCTCAAATTGAAAACTCGAATTCACGAAATGAACGATGCCATGAATTTAAATGCATTTTCTGATTAAAAATATTGAAGGAAAAGCAAAATTAAAACACTATAATGTCCCATCATAATCAGCTCAGATCAAAAACCCATCCAATTTTCTGATTTTTGGAATTTTCTTTAAGTAAATAAAGAAGACAAGGAGTTGAAATTTAAGTGTAGTTCATTTCACTAATTTGTGTGTTGTTTAGTTAGTGATTTCGGGCTTGTGATTCGGAATTAGGTGTAAGAACCTATGTTTGGATCTACCAAACCGTGTGTTGGGTTGGAATTGGGGTTTGAGTCCCCGAGGGTTTTTTTAGATCCTGATTCAAAACTAGTCCCCCCTGATTCAGCCTAACTTGAATCCCTCTGCACAGTGCACAAATAGTAACCTAAGTAATGACTCCCATCTTCCTCACGCTCAGCCTCAACTATTCTGCCAGAGAATCTCCAGTCTTCCTCAGCCATTCGTTCTTCTCGTTCTCCTTCAGAGAATCTGCTCAGCCTTTCTCTCTTCTCTTCAAATTTTTCACGCCTCTATTCCCTCACATGTTCGCATATTAACCGGGTAAAGAACCCACATCTCGGTGGAATCCTCTTCTCTAAGTTGATGAGAAGTGTTTCGAGTAAAGGGTTGTCTGTGAACAATCGACAGAAGCTTCACATTCAGTACAATTTTTGTCGATACTACGCAAGTTCATTTCTCACCCTTACCGAAGAGGAAACAGAAGCAAATGGAAAAATTTCAAAACACCTTCGTCTACGTTTGGTTTTCTGCCGGCGGTGTCGTTCATCTCATCCTCAGACTCCCACTCTGTAACGGTCTATGAACCCCAACTTGTTCACATTCTATGTAAAGATCTGTAGATGCTTAGGATATTGATTTGCATGTTTGGTCTTTGGAATGGGTTCATCTCGTTGGAGCTATAGCAGTCGTACCAAACACTACTGCCAATTAATGGGGGATTAGGGTTTCTGTCAATGCTTATACGTATCAGTATAATATATGGCTTTTTGTGAATGAATTTGTAGCACTAGCATATACTTCTCTCAAGGGAAACTAGTTCAGGTCAAGATTTTGAGAAAAAGCGTTCTCGAGTTGGCAGAACAGTAATGTCTGTTTTTCATTTTTTTTTTCTTTTTTTCAAGTAACGATGTTTTCCCTGTCATATTCGCATATGTATCTATAAACAGTTTCATTATTTCCATAAAACCATGTAGAATTATTTCTTAGGCTGAGAGGAAATGCCTGAGATCATGCCTTCATCAATGCATACACTTATCAGATCCAATTTTCTCCCTTTGTTGCCTTGGAATTATAGAGGAGGAACAGTACGTAGTTACTTTTGTTTTGGTTTTGCGTGGCTACGATCTCCTCAACCTCGAGGGGCTAGTTTCCATTTTTCGAGCTGTCGAAGTGCTTGAAAAATGTTGTACACATTATTTACAAATTTGCATTATGTTTTGAGAAACCACTGTAAGACTTTGATTGTGTATACTTTCTGTGTAAAGAATGTCACGAGTGCGTGATTGATTGCTTTATGTCCATTGTTGTGGTGCCTTTGTTTTTTTCCCTCAAGAATTTATCTCTTGAACACGCAAATGGGTACTAATATAAGTGTAATGACTGAGAAAATTTCAGACCTTAAATAATACAATTTATGTATTTTTAAGCTAAAAATTTTCCTAGAAAATATTATGTTATATTATGAATAGAGGATTTATGGAATTAATATATGTATTCCTAAGTTCTATAGTATATTTCATGTTAAGTTCATGTTTCGATCAAGTAAATTCGATCGATAAATTCTCACCGTACTTTAAGGCAGAATAATTTTCAGTACAAGTATAGTTTGAGAATCTTAATTTCAAGAATCTCCAAGCACAGTACGATGTTAGCAGTGTATAAAAAAACGCACTGACATTTTAAAAGAAGAAAAAAATCCTTAATTGTCAGACAGCTAGGTTAAAGTCACAAGATAAATACCCATAGTAGAAGGGTACAATGTGAGTTCAGGAGTTGACACCGTCATAAACAACGTCATTCCCGGAATCTAATGCAGAATAGTTAAATTTAGAATTTGTTCAGTCTAGAATTAATTTCAAGACTTGAAACAGTTCAAAATATTACGCGACTAAGAATATAAAATAATATTAAATTATTCAGAAATTAATATTGAACTGTAAGTAGTAGATTAAATTACGTGAGCTAAATTAATTATCTCTAATCAGTATAAATTTAATCTGTTTAGAGGAAATATTTGAGGATAAGATCAAGCACGTAATCTTGCCTTAATCAGACACTTTATATAGTAAAATTTTTAGGGTTCTATCATTTTCTCTCTCTTGCTCACGTTCACTCTCTCTCTCCTCTCACGTTCTCTCACAAAACCATCAATGGCCAAATACTCAAGTTGAGATTCCGACCTCTGTTTTTGACACCGCCGGTGTCAATAGAAAGATCTCGACGAGCTGAGTTCAACGATATGCGACACGACCTCCAACTCCACCGGAATCAGCTGCAATCGCCGGCGGAAGTTCTGAAAATAACCATTTGATATCTCCGCCATCCGACCTCCCATTGACAGCGAGACGAAGAAAACCCATCCATTTTCACAGCTCGATTATGGCCGGAGCGCCGCCGTCCGTGGTGGTCGGAATCGCCACTGCTGCCGCCTTCATTTCTCTCTCTCCATGCCGTCGTGGATGTCACCGCCCCCACCAATCAACTCAGAAGCCGATGCCCAGTAGATCCCGACCAGCAGCCACTGTCGCCGTCGCAGTTTGGCCGAAAAACGGAGCCACTGCCGTCGTCCGTGGAGGGAAGAGGTGGTTCCGACGATCTAACCGTTGGATCGTAGTGACTTTGGTGTCACAACACTCAGAAGGAAGTGGGTAAGAAAACCCCTCAACCAATTTTAAGAATTGATGACCGGAATACTGAGATTTGGGTCGCCGGATTTTACCGACGTTGCCGGTCCCGATAGGTACTGTTATAGGCCGAATGGTGTGAAATTGACCACATCAATGGACTCAGAAGGGTCAAGTTAGGGGGGGTAGGACCCAAGTCCGCCGCGGAAAAACTCTCCGGGAGCCTCCGCCGCCGTACGCCGCTGCCATATTTCGGCGAGGTGTCGTTTCTCAGGCTATCGACATCCGTTTGATGATCCGAGACCATATCCCGACTCGTTTTGACGTGCTGAACGAAATGGTGACGTCCGTTCAACCAAATTCGATTCTTATAAGAATGGTCTGGTACTGGTTGCACGCAGATCGATGTGGTTCAGACTAAACAAGTGAAGATCAGAATTGAGTGTTTAAAGCTACGATGTTCCTCAAGGATTATTCATAGTGCTTGCAGCTTTTCCCAAAATTAGTTTTGAGGAATACGCAGGAGGACACGACAAGCGAGATACTATCAGAACCGCTAAGCTCAGAATCCAGGCAAGTACAAACCTTGCTTACAGTTTAATTAAGATAGTCATATAAAGCGTATGATTTTCACGAAATACGTTAATTATGAGATTCGTGAATTAGGTTTATGTTTATGTTAAACGTCATATATAGTTTCCAATAAATAACGGTTTTCAAATAAGCGGGTAAGCGAAAATCGTAAAGAAACGATACGCTAGACACTTAATTTTACGACGTTAAATACGGACCTCAACACTATTATGAGCCCGTCAAGTGAGGTAAAGTAAAGTTTATTAAAAGTGTATTATGGATGATAATTTGATTAATTATTAAAACTAATTAATTAAATTATCTAAAACTTAGAATATGGTTAAGGAAGTTAATTAATTACTAAGATTAATTAACTAACTTATGTATACTTAGTATATGAATAAAAGGGTTAATTAATTACCAAAATTAGTTAACTAAATTATTAGACTTATTATAAGGATAAGATAATTAATGAATTATCAATTTAGCATAAATTTGTAATGGCAATTAAGGAAAATAAGATTTTCAGGATTTAATAAATTGATCCTTATAGTAAATTATCCTTCA